TTTTAAAATTTTATTAAATGATTAAATGAATGTCCAACATATGTGAGAGTGAATTGCCCATTCATCCCATGCAAATTTTAGATTTTTTTAGGGTTTTTTCACCCTTTGCACCTTGTAAGATTTTAATATTCTTTGTATTTTACTCTCAAATATTAAATTTTTTATATTGTACCCTTAATGTATCAAAAATGTTACAATCCGACCCTTTTGTTAACTTCAATTTTTTTTTTTATCAAAAGTCAACTTACTAACCCCGATGGAAAACTAACCAAAACTTAATAGAATAGTTTCATTGTAATACTTTTGATACATTAAGAGTGTAATATAAAAAATTTATTCTTTGATGTTATAAAATGAGAATCTTAAAATATTTTAGGGTATAAATATAATTCACTTTTTTTTTTTACTAAAGCATTAAATTTTACTTAATTTATTTATGATAAGTGATCAGAGATTAAAGAATAACCATACAAAATTGTTGCCGTTTTTCACTCAACCGGCAAACCTTGAAGTACTCTTTTTCTTTAACTCAACCCTGGTACCATTTTTAACCCCTATACTAACCATAGTGTAAATTCATGCGGTTATGATTGAGAAACCAAAACGAGCGCCCCGTCTCTCTCCAAACTTCACTTTGTTAGGAAAGAGAGAAAGCTCTCGTTAGTCTGTCTGAAATCCCCAACGTTTATTTTCCGGGAAGAGATATTTCCCAATTGAACTGTTACTTTCCTGGAATACTTTCATTTCAAAGTGGTTGCTCTTCTGCTTCCTAACCTCCCGTACTGGTTTGTATGTTCTTTCAACTGTGTATTTTTTCGATATATAGACTTGTTTTGTAGTTTGAAATTTTGCGGGTTTTCCTTTTTTTTGCTGATAACTTGGATATAGAGCTCTTGAGATCTGAAACTTGAGGTATGACCAAATGGATATTGACAATGATGATGGCTTGTAGTGTAAATGAGAAGACGGGTTTGTTTTGGTTTGGCTTGTACTTATGTTGAATGTATTGAATTTTAATTCGTGAGTAGAGACTGGTTTACTTCCATTGTTTTGGGGTATATTTCGATCTGGGTATCGAGATTTTTAGTCTTTTGGTTGGTGGGTGTTGCTGTTTTGCGGATTAGAGATGAAAGTAGAGGTGGGTATCAGTGGTATGGGATGGAATGAGGAAGATAAGGCCATAGTTAAAGCAGTTTTGGGTACTAGGGCTTTTGATTACTTGATTTCGAGCTCGGTTTCAGCAGAATGCTTGTTAACGGCAATGGGGAATGATGAAAATTTGCAGAATAAGCTTTCAGATCTCGTGGACAGCCCAAACGCGGTCAATTTTAGTTGGAATTATGCGATTTTTTGGCAAATTTCGCGATCTAAGTCTGGTGATTTGGTTCTGGGATGGGGGTGATGGTTCTTGTAGAGAACCAAGGGAGGGAGAGGAGTCTGAAGTTACCCGATTTCTCAATCCTCGGCTTCAAGATGAGACCCAACAGAGGATGAGGAAAAGGGTGCTTTATAAATTACAAGTCATGTTTGGGGATTAGATGAGGATACTTATGCTTTCGGATTGGATAGGGTGACAGATACTGAAATGTTCTTTCTTGCGTCGATGTACTTTTCATTCCTCGAGGGGAAGGTGGTCCAGGGAGGTGTTTTGCATCCGAGAGGCATATATGGCTCTCGGATGCTTTGAAGTCCTCAACGGATTACTGCATCCGATCATTACTCGCAAGGTCTGCAGGTATCCAAACTATTGTTCTGATCCCAACTGATATTGGAGTAGTTGAATTGGGATCAGTGAGATCCATACCTGAAAGTTTAGAGCTGTTGCAGTCAATAAGATCCTTGTTCTCGTTTTCATCGCAAGGCAGGTCGAAACCAATGGTAGCCCTGCCGGTGATAACTGAGAAGAAGGATGGAAATGCTCAGCTCTCTAATATGTGTATTGGTGGCGAGCGGCCAGATGGAATTCCAAAGATTTTTGGGCAGGATTTGAACTTGAGTCGTCCCCAGTTTAGGGAAAAACTTGCTGTTAGGAAAGCAGACGAGAGGTCATGGGAAGTGAACTCAAATGGGAACAGGCTACAGTTAACAAATACTATAAATGGTCTTCATGGTTCAAATTGGGCACATTTCAATGGGGTGAAGCAGGGAGGCACAGTAGAGATTTACAGTCCTCAGACCCCATCAAACCATTTACAGGAACCCATCAATGGCGTTAGGGAAGAATTCCGGCTTAACAATTTCCAGCCTCAAAGACCAGCACAAATGCAAATTGATTTTACTGGGCCACCTCAAGGACTATCATTTCCCAGAGTGCTGAGTCCGAGCATTCAGATGTTGAGGCTTCATGCAAAGAAGAGCGAACAGGCCTGGCCAATGACAAGAGGCCTCGAAAGCGTGGCCGAAAGCCTGCTAATGGAAGAGAGGAGGCCCTCAATCATGTGGAGGCAGAAAGGCAGAGGCGCGAGAAGTTGAACCAACGCTTCTATGCATTGCGAGCTGTTGTGCCCAATATCTCCAAGATGGACAAAGCCTCCCTGTTGGGAGACGCGATTGCTTACATAACTGATCTTCAGAAGAAGCTCAAGGACATGGAATCGGAGAGGGAAAGACTAGGAACCACATCAAGAGATGAATTGGCCTTTGAAGCTAATTCAAATTCAGAAAGTCCTGATATTGAAATTCAAGTTGTCCATGATGAGGTTATTGTAAGAGTGAGCTGCCCTTTGGATACTCACCCGGTATCAAGAGTCATTCAAGCTCTCAAAGAGGCCCAGATCACAGTTGTTGAGTCAAAACTTGCGACAGGGAACGATAAAGTGTTTCACACGTTTGTCATCAAGTCTCAAGGATCAGAACAACTGACAAAGGAAAAATTGATTGCAGCATTTTCCCGTGAATCCAACATGTCAGGGCCATTGTCATCGGTTGGGTAATAAGAGGATTGATTATATTTAGCATAGTTTGGAAGCATAATATGTAGTGAAGAACCCCTTTCAAAAATTTCTGCGGAGGTCTTGATATACAGGGTGCAGCTAGAAATAGAAAAATAACTTCCTATTGACCAAGTAGGATAGCAAATTTTCTGTTTTTGCTTATAGTATATGTATGATGTCAAGAGAAAGTATGCTGGCCAGATGATTTAAATTTGTGAATTTAACTGGCTCTGCTATTGTTGCTTGTTTAGAAGCTGCCAATTTTGTTTTTGTTTTGAATGATATAAAGTTGCTTCTCTAATGATTTTTTCAGATACATTTTCTTTCCAATAATTTGTGTATCGTAATATCATTGCATGGTTCTTTATCAATATATTGCTGTGTATAGCACTTGAAGTTTTGATGGAAGGCTTGTGAGCTCCATGGACTCTATAAATCTGTAGTCAGTCATCCGTCTAGGCTTTTATCTCCCCTTTCCTTTGTGGGTTATCATGGTTAGGTTCTGTTCCTATTCTCGAGGGAAACTGTGCAAGTTGTTTGCCGGTGTATGTGTTCAGTTGCATTCTTCTAACAAAATGGTTTTTAGGTGAGCAAATTGGTGTTGAACTCTTCACAAGAACAAAGAAATTGCTAGTTCTTGGGAATGTGATCCCATGGATTCATTTAATCAGTTTTTTTGGGCGACCTGGTGTGTAGGTTTGCGTCTACTATTTTTTTGAGCTCAGTGACTAGTCACCGTAGTTTAGAGCTTAGTTATAACATGTCGGACAAGGGTGGTTAGCTTAGGTGTATGAAGGAATTAAATCTGAAACCTCTAGATTGTCAAAGGTCCGACTCAACTAGTGAACCACCAATGGGATTTAATTAGTTGTTTGTTGTGATTGTTTTGAGGCTAAGCTTTGTTATGGTTCATTTAATCAGTTGCCTCCACTCCGAAGATTTTTGTCCCCGTCAATGGGAAGCATCTTAAATTTAATATTGTCTCCAAGAGTCCAACCTTTCCTCATCACTTCTAGTAGCTGTTTGTCTTTGAATTAAGTGTACATGCATGCCTGTAGTTTCCTTAATTGTCCTCTTCTCTGTATTTCTGGAGGCTAACCATTTTTCTCCATTAAATGGAACTAATTAGTTTCTGATAATCCGACAGGCAAATAATTTATTAGTTCCTTGTGGACAGATAGTATTATATATAGTAGATACTGGTTTTACTATGTAAGGTGGGACCAACGGCCTTTACTCATTACAAAAAATTAAAAAAATAGTACTATATACTGCAGAGTGGTTGACTTGTGTGTGAGGATTCGGAATCATTTGGGGTTTATGTTTAGACATCATATAGGGACGGTGTAAACAATGAAGGTTGTTCTTTACTTTTTGGTCGGACATTGGTAATAGGTAACGAAATTTAAATTCACAATTTTAAAGTTTAATAATAATTGTAGTCATTAGACTGATCATTAATTTCAAAAATATTCTTCGGTTTGCATGATTTTGATGGTTTCTATTACATTGTGGCAGGTGATTGTTCATTCAGTTTAAATGAGGAGAGGAGATTTCTACTGGTTTCTTCGATTTTCTCAGCAATCAAACACTATTTGCCTTGATGCACGTGAAGGAGAGGGAAGAAAATAGGTCTTGTACTCAAGTATAGACCAACCCTTTAATGTTGCTTTCTCCTTATAAAGGGTAACAAGAAAGAAAGTCATTAAACACGAGAAAATATTATAAGCCCACAATCTTTGAAAAAATTAAGGTATCGGCAACCTGTGATTCCAACATTGAAAATAGAGGTAATGGTCCAAACTCCAAACTAGGGAATGACGCACACAATAGAGTGGTCGGATTCGAGTATCTTTCACTATATTTTATATCAATTTAATTTTACAAGGAATATTATTTTCTTCTTACAAAAAGGAAAAAAAAAAAAGAAAAGATGCTGCTAGCCCCAGCTTTACGCAAATGGACGGTGCACAATATCTTTGATGTGATAGAGGTAGGAGTTAAGTGTGGATAAATGGTGGGTGAAGCATATGACAAAAATGGAGACCAGAAGTCTTATGTGCTTTTGCTGTAGCTATTGCAGACACTATACCTATTCTACCATTTTCAATCATTTCACGTTTTGCCCCACTCGCCGTCTGCTTTTTTAAATTTCAAATCTTGTTAATTAACTGTTTGAGCCGAGGGCGGATTTTGGTGCAGTCATACTATTGTTTCAATTGACTTGATGTAATTGTACATGTAATGATGGATACTCTGTTTAAACGCGCTTCTATCCATTGGAGAGAGATTAAAGATTTCTCTCTGTTACCCGAAAAATAATAATTATGAAAATCTTGTGGAATAAACTCTTTTCTATTTTTATTCTGAGTTGAAGGGAACTGCAGAAGCAGTTGATATTTATGGCATATGGTGATGATAATTTCGTAAAGAGGAGCCAAAGGTCATGTGGTGGTGGAAGTCAAAGACTTCATAAAAATATATTGACACATTTAATAACGAGAGGAAGAAAATGAGAAGCAATCATTTGCACGAAACTTGAAAGTCATTGGTTTACAATTAAAATGAGAAACATATTTATTAAAAATATGTCATGTACAACATGTTTTGTTTTGAATAATTATTAGTACTTTGTGTCCGTGACAAGCTAGCCTAATAAAACTAGATGTAATTATGTTGTATTGAGGGATAAAATTTATAATGTTTCCATAATTTTTGTTTTAAATTAATAAAATTATGTCATCGATTTAAGCATTTGTCAAATCCCATTTGAATAGACCACCTAACCAAAACAATGGATTAAATTCTAAAAGCCTCTAGTTAAGTAGTATCCGTGACTCAAGCTTAATGTTTGGTTCCATCTCTACCTGATAAAGGTCACACTTAATTACACCATATATATGGTTATGATCAAATCACAATCTAATCAGATATTGATAAGGTGAAGTTTGAAATTATTAGCCTACCAGACTTGTACCTATCTTCTATATGAAAAAAGCCATGCAAATACCATTTCTTTGAAGCAGGTTTACATATGGTACAGTCACGTTAGGCATGCATCACCTACCAAGCAAGCCTTCTTTTAAAAATAATGATTATGGATACCAAACGACCCAACAAAGGACTGAAAGGATTTCTGGTTCGGGTATAAAGCAAGACTAATTTTATACCACCTCTTACATAGATTTGATCGATAATATATATATATATATATATATATATATATATATATATATGGTATTATTGAACATTATAGCATTGGACCAGTATTAAGAAAAATTAAATCCAACCCTATAACATCTAATTTAGTTAAGTCTCACCCTACTACTACTACTACAATTAATTCTCCATCATCTTTTAACTACTTCACTTCATGCCAAGATCATGATATAACTAATCATTCTCTTTTCTCTACTTAACCCACAGTAAGAAGCTTAATGTCCTCTACTGAGCCCATTAGCTGGTGAAACTTGTTGCAGTAATGGATTTCTACACCTTTGCTTGGACCATTGTATGTGTATCTCTCATAATATTCAATATTTCTTGGTTATGGCTTAGAAAAAAGTCCCAAAACAGAACCAATAGGCTCCCTCCTGGCCCCCCAAGATGGCCCATTGTTGGCAACCTTCTCCAACTGGGCCAGTTGCCTCACAGAGACCTAGCTTCCTTCTGTGAGAAATACGGGCCTTTGGTCTACCTCCGACTCGGCACTGTCGACGCCATCACCACCAATGACCCTGAAATCATACGTGAAATACTTCTTCGGCAAGATGACATCTTCGCCTCCCGGCCACGGACACTCGCCGCAGTCCATCTCGCCTACGGCTGTGGGGATGTTGCATTGGCTCCTCTAGGGCCGAAGTGGAAGCGAATGAGAAGAATTTGCATGGAGCAACTATTAACAACAAAGAGACTCGAGTCCTTTGCAAAGCATAGGACCGAAGAAGCCCATCATCTTGTTAAAGATGTATGGGCCAGGGCCCATACTGGAGAGGCACTGAATTTGAGGGAAGCTTTGGGTGGGTTTTCAATGAACAATGTGACAAGAATGTTGCTTGGGAAGCAGTATTTCGGGTCGGAAACGGCAGGCCCACAGGAGGCCCTGGAGTTCATGCACATAACCCATGAGTTGTTTTGGCTTCTGGGATTGATTTATTTGGGTGATTATCTGCCATTTTGGAGGTGGTTGGATCCTTATGGATGTGAAAAGAAAATGAGGGAGGTGGAGAAGAGGGTAGATGATTTTCACATGAAAATCATTGAAGAACATAGAAAGAGAAAGGAAACAGAAGGAGTGAAATGTGATGGAGATTTGGATTTTGTTGATATTTTGTTAACTTTGCCGGGGGAAGATGGGAAAGAGCATATGAATGATATTGAGATTAAAGCCCTAATTCAGGTATGTTACTCGCACATATAATCTAAAATATCAGTTTTACTGGGTAAAATTAGAACTCAATCTTATTAAAGTCGTCTTTATCAAGTCTTGGTTGATGCTTTGGCATTGTAGGATATGATAGCTGCAGCCACAGATACTTCAGCTGTGACCAACGAATGGGCAATGGCTGAGGTGATCAAACATCCACGTGTCCTTCACAAGATACAACAAGAGCTAGACATGGTTGTAGGCCCACACCGCATGGTCTTGGAATCTGATCTATCCCACCTTAATTACCTACGTTGTGTTGTACGTGAAACTTTTCGAATGCACCCAGCCGGACCATTTCTCATCCCACATGAATCCACACGCGCTACCACAATCAACGGCTTTTACATCCCTGCTAAGACCCGTGTCTTCATCAACACGCACGGCCTCGGTCGGAATCCAGCGATATGGGATGACGTTGGTGAATTCCGGCCGGAGAGGCATTTTTCGGGCGACGGCAACCGAGTTGAAATAAGCCACGGAGCCGATTTCAAGATATTGCCATTTAGTGCGGGCAAGAGGAAGTGCCCTGGCGCGCCGCTTGGCGTGACGCTTGTGTTGATGGCTTTGGCTCGACTCTTTCATTGCTTTGATTGGAGCCCACCTGAAGGAATGAGGGCAGAGGATATTGATTCAAAAGAGGTTTATGGTATGACAATGCCCAAGGCTAAGCCCTTGATGGCTATTGCCAAGCCACGCTTACCAAGTTATATGTATCATTGATTTGTATTCCCACGTTGTCTCTCAAATCTAAACCCTATTTGAATGAATTTTATTTTATTTTCTAACTTTGAATCTTTCTTAAAATTTTCACCTTCTCTATAAGAGTGTAAAGAATACCACCTAATAATCATATAAAAAGTGGTTCTAAAAGAATTTTTTTGTGGCAAATGAATCAAATATAAAATACATTTTCGAATTTTGGTAACATAGTTGCTCCTTGTATTTATACTTTTACACATGTCAAAGTAGAATAAACGGTTTAAATAATGGGTTGCATATCTATCTATTTAATATGACAGCTAGACAATTGAACTCTCAATATGTGCACGTGAGCCCTCTTGATGAGTTGGAAAGCCTCTTGATGAAGTGAGTACAACAAATGAATCAGTTTTTGCCTACTTGGGCTGGTTCAAGGTTAGGTTTTAGGACTTTTGACTTTGGGTACTGATGGGATTTTTTTGAAATATCCTATAATGAAGACACGTGTTTTCGGTTTTACTAAAACACTTGCTAAGATCAAGCACCATCGGCGCTCAAGGTCCTCTCCCCCGAGGTACTCGTCATGTAGGATCATACATTCAGTATATTTTACAACCGACACGTGGCCTCGGTCTGATATGTACCTCGGTCGGCATACCTCCTTGGTCCCCGAGATGAGCCTTTCCTCGGTGCCGAGAGGTACCCCCATCCTGGACGCTTCCTCTACTCCAGGATAAGCTATTGACATACAGGTCATTAGCCTAGGCTAGACTAGGCTATTCATCATGACCTCGTCTTACACAAGTAATGTCAGAACGTACTGGAATACAGAGATCACAGCCAATAGGGGATGGACGCGTGGCATATGATATCACATCAAAGACAGACAAACCGCATGCCGTTGCTGACACGCGACTTGGGAAAGCAAACCATTAATTGCACCATTCCTTTGATGAGACCGCATTCAATACGGTAAGGCTCGGAAATGAAAGGTAATAAATGCTCCTATTACAGAGCATTTATTGCATCCTCCCCGAGGGAGCACATTGTACCGTCGGCATCCCGACGATCCAGCATTGATTGCTCGGGACCCGAGCAGTTAATTAGAGAAGACATTCCTCATCAGAATCAATGCACACTCTACCTGAGCCTAATGATCACCTACTGACGACACTGACAGCAATCATGAGCTTTTAAGGTATAAATACTCCTTGCAAAAGGCAAAGCTGGTATGCAACAACAAACTCTCTACTATAACGCATTCAGTGTTTTCTCCTTCCTCTCTCTCTCTCTCACTCAAAGACTGACTAGATCGTCGGAGGGGATACGCCGGAAAACATTCTGGCGCCCTTCTAACTTGTTCTTCTTTGTTCCAGGAACCTCTTCCAGCCTTACAAGATCATTCTTCCTTTCCCAGGGTGTCCCGTTGCCGTTCCAGGTTACCACCGTACCTTGCAGGCTGTCCCAAGCAGCGTGTTTGATCACTCCACCGGCTCATTCGAGTTCACCAGGGAGAGATCTGTTCCCATTTTTTATATTGTGCAGGATCTTGCACGCACAATCTGGCGCCGTCTGTGGGAAACGACTAGTTTTCCTAGTTTTTTTCTCTATAAAGAACAGTGACCATGGTGAACACTCGACAGAAAGGGAAAGGACCCCACCAAAGGAGTCTCGAGTTACAAGCTCCCTGTCATCACGGAGGGAGGGATCACACCAATACGAATAAAAGTGTCTCTACTCGGTCGAGAGGGGTTACCCCTCAAACCAGTATGGGGATCAGGTCAGGGGGGTCAGCCCCCTTGGCTCGTCAGCTGGCGGAGGTGATTGAAGAAAAATTTGGTGATAGATTACGTCAGCTGGAGAAGGACAATGTAAACGTCCTTAGCCGGCTCGACGAGTTTGCCGCCTCAGGCGGAGGGTCGAGGGATTCATTCCTTTCCCGTGGACTTCCCGCCCGGGAGGCGGAAACGAAGGATCTAAGAAACCACCTAGACCACAAAGCAGAAAGCTCTAGGGCCCCAAAGCGACCCAGAGCCGGCGAACATCATCATGACAACCATTCCAGGAAAGCAAGGCCATTGGCCCTGGACGACCTCCGGCGAGGTTTGTCTAGACGGAGGAAGGGAGATGAATCCGAGGAGGACTCAACCCAATCCACACGACGCCCAGGAAATGAGGGGCTTACCAATGAACTCAGGGACTTCAGAAGGCATCCCGTCAGGGAAGAAGTTGATCTCAGAGCCCGATTAGACTCCAGGAGAAAGGGTAAGACTGTCCAGGATGAGGCCGAGGACGAAGTCATACAAACACCCTTTACGAGGGAAATCAGTGAGATGGAGGTCTCAAGAAAGTTCGTCGTGCCGCGGTTCAAAACCTATGACGGGCGGTCCGAACCCGAAACCCATATCAGGCAATACAAGCAGATGATGTCCCTCTATCATTCGGACCAACGGTTTCTATGCCGAGTGTTCCCTATGAGCTTGGGGGACTCTGCGATGAAATGGTTCGAGACGCTTCCCCCAAACAGTATTGGGTCCTGGAAGGAATTGACTAGGCAGTTCCTGACTCGATTCATTACGGGGAGTAAGCGCCCCAAAGACATTGGATCATTGTTGACCCTCAGACGGAGGGAATCCGAGACTCTTCGCCAGTACGCCATCCGATACTGGGAAGAGGTCAATGAGGTAGAAGGCTGCTCGGAGGTCATGGCAGCAGCATCTTTCCGGCTCGGCTTGGCGAGGGACACGGACCTGTACCGATCCCTGACCAAGAAGACTCCCTCGGATATGGGGGAACTGATGGCCCGGATCAACAAGTACTCGAGGGTTGAGGACGAGATGGTAAGCAACAAAGGCCGAGCCCTCCAATCTAAGAGAAAGGAGAAAGAGCGCGAAGATATTCCCCGAAAGGGATTGCTACCCCATCCAGGGGGTTCGTCCAGGGGAGTTCACACTGTTTTCAAGGAACCCATCTTCAAGTTGCTCCATAAAATCAAGCACGAGCCATTTTTCAAATGGCCGCCCAGGATGCAGGGCGACCCTCTCCACCCGTGATCAGAAGGTTAGGTGTTCCTATCACCGGGATTTCGGGCATCGCACCGAAAGCTGTAGGGTGTTCAAATCGTTCTTGAAAGCTTGGTCCGAGACGGACATTTGAAAGAGTACATAGAGCCCAGGCCAGAAGAAAGACGAGCCCTTGCCCCGACCGAGGAACCGGACAACATCATAGACGTCATTCATATATGTCCCCTGGAGCGCCCCACGTCCAAGGAGCTCGAGTCCGACCTCAAGAGGGTAGCTTTTACAAGGAAGGTAGCCGAGGGTGATGTGGGGCCATCAAGTAAAAAGGCCAGGATGGGTGAGCTTGGCATCACGTTCTCCGACGCGGATTTGACAGGCGTGGTGATTCCTCATAACGACGCCCTTGTCTTGACCCTGAGGATAGGGAAATTCGATGTCAAGAGAATTTTGATAGACTCAGGAAGCTCCTCGGAGGTGATGTACTTCGAAACTTTGAAACGAATGGGTCTTGGCCCAAAAGACCTCACCAAAGTCAGGACACCCCTCATCGGGTTCAACGGCTCATTCGCCTTGCCCGTGGGAAAAATCACATTGCCAGTTGCCACTGGTCCCTTTATCATCGACACCGAGTTTGTGGTGATCGATACGGACTCTCCTACAACGTGATTATGGGGCGAACATGGCTGCATGCGTTGGGAGCGGTGCACTCCACTTTCCATCAGAAGTTAAAATTCGCCACGCCAGAGGGTATCATGGAGATCCGGGGGGACCAAGCGTCCGCGAAGAACTGTTTTTATTCGGCCGTCCGAGCCGGGGCGTCCAGCCAGGAGAAGGGGCGAGCACCGGAAGAGATTATGGAAAAATAGCAATTACAGTCCGGGCGTCCAGGAATGGATGACCCCCGGATAGACCCAACTGAACGGTCGGTTGAAGACCTCCGGAAGGTGCCCTTGGTAGAGGGAGAAGAAGAGAGGTATTTCTTAGTGGGGACCTCGATGCCGACAGCCGAACAGGAGGAGATGATCGAGTTCCTAAGGGAAAATACAGACGTGTTCGCCTGGAACGAGATGGAAATGACGGGGGTAGACCCCGAGATAATCACTCACAGGCTGCATGTTGACCCGTCGCACAAGCCAGTAAAGCAGAGGCCACGACGCATGGCCCCGCATCACACCAACGCGGTCAACGAGGAAATCGACAAACTCCTGAAGGCCGACGCCATTCGAGAGATACAGTTCCCAGAATGGCTGT